CTGCTCTAGTTGCTTTACCTGAAAGAAATACTCTGCTCAATAAAGGAGATAAATCATTTTCTAAACACACGTGGCGATGCAGTGCCGCTCAGTGAAAGCCCTTCACTCCTACCGCGTTACTCTATCTGCCAACTCCACCTCTGCAAACATGAAAATCAATGTAACAAGTCGATGTACAAGGCAAGGCCTACAGCGCTGCTAACGTCCCCTTGCTGGACATACACCTTAAGTCTCAGGGTTCTCGGGGGCTTTGCTGTGAAATAAAATTAGATTCCAACATCTGCCACCATTAAGGAAAAAATTCCATTTCCATCTCCCATATGAAAACACTATAACCAATGAACAGTAACTGAACCTTGATACCGTAATGGTTATTACCCAAATCAACTATTTTTTTTTTAAACAATAAAATTAGCGAATTCTGCTCTCATAATTATTTGAATGTTATCAGACTAAATGTTTGATAAAATTCCAATATGATTCACTTGAAAAAACTGCTGCTTATTTGAATACCCAGAATATAAAGTGTATTCATTTGTAGCTATTCACATTATGTTTAAAGCATATCATCTTTTTAAAGTTGGCATTAGCCAGCTTTCCTATCCAAGCACAAAAATCGCCCACCTTCCAGGTTGCACCCGCATATTTTATTCAGACATTTCTATTAGAGTTAAAAACAATCTAATTTCTGTTACTCATGGAAGAGGAGCGATAACACACGAGAATGGTGGAATCCACGGAGTCGGTTTCTGTGACTGGAAATACTTTGTGCATTAGTCAGTGCCTAGCACAACTATGATGTGTCTGGGTCCATAACATACTGAGACTGCAGGAACTTCAAAATAATTGTGCTGTCTGTCATTCAGGGTATCTACCCAAGGCTTTATCTTTTTACACAAAAGCTGTTTGAAATCCATGGAGAATAAAAATGTCTCTGTGTGGGGGGCTGAGCTGAGACTCTTGCTTAGCACACTGGAAGGCCTTTTCCATTTGTGTATAGCACTGTGTCATCTTAAAGCTCTTCTGTATACTTCCTACCAGGTAACCTCCTCCCCATAGGAAAAGAATCTTAGGCTCAAAAAGGTTAACTAATTTCTCACTATTATAATATCAACCACACAGCCTGGACCACAGCCTCCTGAGTTGTCTCACCCGTCCCCCCTGCTTTCCCCTCGGGCATGGAAAAGCGTGCGCTCTGGCCCTATGTTGGTAAGAATCTGTCAGCGAAGAAAGGAAAGGCCCCACCATTTCCACCATCCATTAGTCCAATATCCCGAATTCATCTGTCCTGGAGCTGGGTTTAACTTCGGTACTGATGCCACCTGGAACCCCGAGGAGACACTAAAATAGTAGGACAGATGCAGAGAACTGGGGGTTGGCTCTCCTGTTTATTAGTCAGGTGAGTCTTAGGTGAACATTGGGGAAAACTACGCTAGCTCACGGGATTAACTCTGAGAATTAAATGTAGATAATAGAGAATACACGATGGGGTTTAGCAGAAAAAAGGTGACGGGTGCTAAGTCCACCTGGAGAACTGGGGCAAGATGCAGCAGCAGGTGGAGCTGGACGGGACTGGTGTCCCTGCTTTGTCCATGCACCCCACCCGCCCCCATGTTCAGGCCTCCGCCTCATTCTGACAATCCTTACCACATTATCTCCAAGGTGTAAATAGAAATTGAATTCTGGCCATGAAAAAGGTCAGTCTGATTTGAAGATATTTTTTTAGAAATTCGTTTGCTAGCTTTTCTGTTCCCGTCACAAAAATCATGGCAGGAGAACAGAAGTTAAGTAGACGATGACCTTCCTTGTGAAGTCAGATCTCCTCCCTCAGGGTTACACACTGTTTTGGGACTGTCTTCCTTTTAAGAAACCATCAGTCTATCTACCTGTTTTCATCAACAGGGTAGTGCTGACAACCAAACTATACAACTGAGAGAAAACTACAGTGCTCTGTCAGGAAGGTACAGTAAATTAGGAGTTAGGAATAACTGTCCAAGAGAATGAAGTGAACAGGTTAACTCATGTGGTGACTCCACAGCCACCAACGGGCCCCTGGATTCTCTTTCAACCAGGAATGAGAGATTAGCTAACAGCGTTGGCGGGGTTCGGGAAACACCATCTTGGCAGACTCAGAGAAGCTGCCAAGCGACATTGCTGAAAGAGACTCATGGGAGCTTTGCAGGACAAGGGTGCAAAGAGCAAAAACGTTTAAAACCTCCCCAGAGCATCACTCACGGGCCATTGTCAAGCAATTGCTGCCACTGTCTGAAGAGGTCCCAAATCAGTGACTTAGCCCTGGCAGGGAGGATTGAACTTATCATTGAAAAGAAAAGAATGAAGGTAGCAAGGGGCTGCTAACCATAGGGGCTATGCTATAGTCCAACGGTTTTCAACCGGTGTGCCGCAAGCATTTTTAAAACATGCAATACCTGACTATTTAGTTAGGGGTACTAACCTCTTTTCGCTTAGATCAGGAGTCCTCAAACTGTGGCCCGCGGGCCACATGCACATACAAATATTGTATTTGTTCCCGTTTTGTTTTTTGTTTTTACTTCAAAATAAGATATGTGCAATGTGCATAGGAATTTGTTCATAGCTTTTTTTTAAACTATAGTCCGGCCCTCCAACGGTCTGAGGGACAGTGAACTGGCCCCCTGTTTAAAAAGTTTGAGGACCCCTGACTTAGATTGTAAAAAAAAAAAACACCAAAAAACAACAACAACCCACAATGAGAACAGCCAAAACAGCAATAGTTGTCCAGTGTGAATGCCCTGTCTTAAACCATAAATATGTAGGTCATATAATAGAGTTCTATCTTAATAAGGTTGCTTCTGATTGGTGAATTCATGGTACCAAAAATCTTTATATACAAGGATGGCACTTTTGAGCAAAAAATAATCACTATTATTATTTTCTATAAGTCAAATCAAAGTATAACTATATTTTCTGTCAGATCAACAAATATGTTTTTTGGTGTGCCACAAAATTTTAGTAATTAGTTTATGTGTGCCATGAAACGAAAAAGGTTCAAAATTCCTGCTGTAGTTAGAAAGGAAAATGGGAAAGGGGGGACCAGATGAAATTAAGTGACATATTATAAGCAAGTAAGTAACAGCTATCAAAAAGTTTTAAACCAAAGAATAGCCCATGGTCATGGGCAATCGGGTAGTGAAGGCCTGAGAGAGGGGAGAAAAAGGGGGTGGGGAGAGTGGGCAGTATCTGTAATACTATCAACAATTAAAAAAAGTTTTAAAATGTATTTTTGTTTGTTTTAAGCCTGACAGTAATACATGTCTAGTTTGTCTGTTTGTCTATTTTGGAGATTTGGGGAAAGTATTTGGCCTTGTAGGAATATAGCCTGTCATCCTTGATAATTAATTTAATTGGCTAGGTCAGAAAAGATGTAGTATGAGAAAGAAAAGCAAGATTATATACATTTAAATATGAGATCCTCACCATAATTAGACTAAGTAGCCCAAACAAGAATAAGCAGGGGAGGTGGGCGAGGGGTAAAGTGAGAACAGGACATTTCCCCTTAATGCATAGTCTTGGCATGTAAATGAAGACATCTGAAGAAGCACACAGGTTTGAAGCGGCTCTAACATTCTATCATAATTAGAAACATTTCAAGAGCCCTGTAATTTCCAATCAAAATTACAGTAATTTCCGATATACAAGCCATGATTCATGACAGATTTTTACATTCCATGAGAGATTACGGTGGCCTGATGTATGACACGCTGAGTACAGCACTAACATAAACAATTCAGTTTAATGTTTAAACAGCACTTGATGTTTAGAATCTCACAATAAAAGAAACATATTATTGTAGAAATTATCACTTTGACAGTGATTGAAGGGTAGGCAGGCATGTGGCCTATAAAGCTATAATTTTTACAGTCCACAGCTTGAGTTTAATCATTTTCCTATAACATTTCCAAGATATCCCTTAAGTATTTCATCCAGCCTATAACTTAAACAAGAACAACCTTTTCTAAAGAGAAACTCCCATCTAGGTCCACTATTAACGCCGATAGAGTGAAATTGTAGGAAAAGCTCAAAGTAGTATACTGTAAAGACTCTCAGGGTTGTATATGGTTATCAGAAGTTAACATAAGTTTATTATAAAGGAGGGTTCATTAATGATAATAAAAATATACTTGGTTAAAATTTCAAGTTGTTGAAATCTTACCTGAGCCTTTGACTGCCTCTAAATTCTCCCCTTGGTGGTGTTATCAAAGCTTTTTGCAAAGGGATAGTGTAGTATTCTTTGGGTCTTATAAGAAGTAGTCTTGCTTTGAACAAGGGTTTATAGATAATTTTGAGTTCCTGCATATAGATGACTCAGCTTTTGATGAACGTAAATTATCAATATACGACAATTACTCTGATGAAGAACTGCATTATTTTGTTGTATTTTTGTCTTGTTTTGTAGGAATTTGTACCTTCTCCAATTCAATTCTCTTTATAATTGATCAGATATGGACAATTTTTCTCATTGTAATTCAATTTGTGTTATTATCTATAGAAAAATTAAAATCATTCATATGCAAAGATATACGTGTGTGTGTGTCAATTTGTTCTAATAAGTGCACTTAAGATTTGTAGGTGCCAGAGTTGGAACAGAAGAAACTATAATGTTTCTAATATTTTAGGACAGAAATCAAGGTCATCTAAGTAATAATGAAACAACAGCAATTCAAGTTATTTGTTCCACTACAATGGACCAGACTGAAAAACTTCCTATACGTTACAGTCTTACTCTTCTGAAAACAACTATAAACTGGCTCAGGGATTTACTAAGAAGTCCTAGGTCTGGAGAGTGGCTATTGGAGGAAATAAGACCCAAGTGTCTAGTATCAGAATCTGAACATTTTGTCTCACCAGAGAGTTCTGTACATAATCCCAGAGACTGTGACCTCTCAGTGATGCGAATTCATACTGAAAATAGACATCCTGAAAGTAGATAAACATTCTCCACGCCTAATCGAGGCTCCTACCTGGCTCTTGGTTGCTGCGACCTTTGCAAACAGTGCTTGGGACACTTTAGCGCGCTTCATTTCCTGCTGAATCTCATCATAAATGGAAGCATTAATGTTCATGGTATTGTTCTCTGGTTTCCCATTCCTCTCAGTGGCAATAGTAGCTGTTTTCACCTACAAAACATTTTGAACATGACTGTCATTTTTCATTGGTCAAATTGTCTTGAAGCTTCCCAGGCTCAGCATCCAAACTAGACACTGCTGCTCCTTTCATGATCAAGATGATCAACAGTGCAGTCATTCAACTTCAGTTATTACCCTGAGATCAGATTGCTTAAGTTAAGGAAGTCACACTGTCACAGGTGATTGCATCTGTAATATGACAGCCACTGCCAGCAGACAACAAGGAATTACAATGCCATAAAGTAAGTTTTCTGGAAAGCTAAATAGTTTCAAAGACTTGAAAACCCTAAGCTAATTGTTTCCCAATTACCTCCCATTGCACTTCTAACAAAGGAAATTCACAATTAAAGTCATAAGGCACAGTGCTGTATCTTCACTGGGTGCCTGTGCCTAACAGACAATGGCATCACTAATAGCTATTATATACTATGGCCTTTTTAATTTTAGGCTCTTTTTTAATACCCTTTCCTCATGTTTCATTTAAAAAATCTTCCATAACAAAGCCATTTGCAGAGCTGCATATTTAAATCTTCTATCCATCCATGAAACAGGTAGAGTGCCTTGCTTAATTATCATAAAGGCTGGTTGCGTTTTACACGTGCATGTCCAAGCTGTTCTGTGTAATTATTTCATCTTTTCCTGGCACCCCTGTATATAACTATTTCTTTTTGACTTATGGAACCAGACTATAAGAAAATGTTCCACAATATTTAACAGAACATTGCTGCGAGTTACACAAAATATATAATCAGTGGCTTAAAAAATATATCCAAAATGTATAATCCTGAATGAAAGATTAGCATCAGTGCTGTTGGAAATAATGACAAACAGGTGCCAGCAGAAAAATGCCACAGAATTTTAGGGGGAAAATTAAATCACACCCTCAAAATTTATTAATACTATTATTAATCTTTAAAAGTGCAAATTTAATTTTTTATTACGCAGTTATGTTGACCAGTCTGGAAAATTTACATCTGAACCCTGTAGCTGCTTTTTTTTAAAAAAAAACAAAACAAAAAAAAAACTGGGGAACTGATAAAAATGTAAATGAAAGTTACCAAGGATGCAGGACCATGTTTTTCCTGGCAACGTGATTCATTAAGGGCCTGATGTCTTTGGGTCCTTTACAGAACCCAGGTTTTTGTTCTCTAGAAATTTAGCATCTTGGACCATTTCTCACATACACTATAAACACTAGGAAATGAAATGCATTTTAGAATAAACGAAGGAATTTTTTGGCTGCAAGTCTTCCAGGTTTATTTCACACTGTCCCAAAATATTTGGCATCAAAAGTGGGACAAAGGTTATCCTAGGCTACTCAATTCTCTGCTCTTAGTAAATATGAGCCCCTTTTATTTTTAAAAAAATATTTTTTATTGATTTCATAAAGGGAGAGGGAGACAGAGATAGAAACATCAATGGTGAGAGAGAATCATTGACCAGCTGCCTTCTGCACACCCCCTACTGGGGCTGGAGCCTGCAACCCGAGCACGTGCCCTTGACCAGAATCGAACCCGGGACCTTTCAGTCCACAGGCAAAACGAGCCAGGGCAATATGAGCCCCTTTTAAAGGTGCCTTCTGAATCCTTTGAACTTCTAGCCAGTTAGCGAAATAACTCACTCTGGCTTGTCGCAGAGAGACAGCTAGACTCTTCCACCCTGACACCACCTAAGCACTAAAAGGACGATGCTGTGAACTGGTTGGACCACAGGCCCTAAGTGAGGACATGGAAGGTGAGGCAGGCAGGACAGGTGTCCAACGGGCTGGGTCTCATTGGCCTCTCCTGCACTGTAAACTGGAAACAGGGGTGGAAGCCAGCTTTCCAGAGTCCCCCTTGCGGCTCTGTGACTCCAGTAAGCAAGGGCACTCACAGAGGTATATTCAGGACTGGAGGCCACTAAGCACATACACCGGGCTTTGAAGCAATAATCTGCTAAACACCACTTTAGGAGCCAGAAGAGTTAACGCATTACCATAAATTGCCTACAAAGTTGCTTTGGTGAGATTCACAACTTTGCTCTGGGGTGGTCTTGCTTTGAGGCAAAAGAATAGAGTTGATCACCCTATGGGGTCCCTTTTAATACCTACTTTTCTCACTGCTTAAATGAAAGAGAAAAGAAAAGCCATTTCAATCGCTTTGAAAATTGAATGTTATAGAAATGGGGGCACGAAGTCCAGTGCATTGGAAGAAGTAGTTCCCGGGTAGCAATCTGCGTAGCAATAGCTGAGAGAGAGCAGTCTTTGGAAACTCCGTGTTTCATGTTTTTGAAAATAATTTGCATTCTTTTGTAAAAATGCTGTTTAAGAATTTATCCTGCAGGTAGCCTATAATCATTTGTCTCAACACTGTGATTTTGTCTCTAAAAATTTCTTTGGTTTAATATTTTTTAAAGCAATTACAATTTGAATCAAAAAAGCAAGATTTTTAAATCATGGGGGCGGGGGGCGGGGAGTCAAATAATCGTTTCCTGGTAGCCAACACAAAATAAAAGTGGGAAATAAGTGCACATGAAACATTTAAAAATTTTTTTAAAAAAGTGAGAGCAACAACTTTTAAAAATATAAAGAAACCGCATTACTCATTTTAAAAAGATTTAGGAAAGTTCTTTATCATCTTGTTGGCTTAGATCTGCATCTTATCATAAATAAGCTATTACAATTCTGGAATCACATTTTTTCCTAAACACAAGCTATTGCTTAAGGCGAACTGACTTGGACGGCTTTTCAAAAATATGAGGGCTGAATTTTTCCCCAGGTAAAAATGGAAACAAAAATCTTTTATACCTCACTCTACTAAGTACTATTTTAGCTTAGTACAAAAAAAATCTTCTTTAATCCTGGTTTAGCTTTTAATATTATATCACACATTAAAATTCATAAAGTAGTTCATTCCAGGCAAAACAAACTACTCTTCAGCTCTTCTCTGCAAATAGCACAGGAGGTAAAATAAATGCAGTTGCTTTCTGAATAGCTTTTATCAAGGCAGCGTGTACTACTCCATCATTACGGCGGCGCCGAGAAGTAGTTAAGAATTGAAGCTTCTACCATGTACCTACCCATGTGGGGATAGGGCACAGCCCTAAGATGATTTAGATCTTTTATTTCACTAAAATCATGCCATTAAATCCTATTTTTGTTTCTTCATGTATTACTGAATGCATCAAGTCATACTACAAAATGAACTATACACACTACATATGTGCTACAGATTACATGCACAGTGCACTAAATGAACTCCGCTGTGGTCTTCATGGGTGAATATGCACTATTCCTTGAGGTAGGAGCACAAGCTCATATATCACATGTGTGTGTGCACACACATAAAGTTTGATGTCCTTTTACTAATAATTATGAAAATAAACACTAACATTTATTAGTTGCTTATGTGCTGTGTATAGTGTTAACACACATCAACTCTAACCTGCACAATACCCTGAGTAGTTACTATTACTCTTGAAACTAAGACAAATATTTAAGTCATTTGTCCACAGGCAAGGCTGAGAGCTAAGCTGCAGTCTGTCTGATGCCAATGCTTATCTTAGAAACCATGCAACTTCTTTATTTGGAAAAATTCTTATTTTTGAAGGCAGGCTAGACCTGTTTTTTGGTGGCCCTTTGCTAAATCTAATTCATTAATATCTAATTTTTAGTAGTAAATGACTTTATCATTAATTTTACAAATCCAATCTGAATTTATTTTTCAAGGCATGTAAACCATAATTTTTTTGGTAACATTATGTAAGAAATGTACTATTTAAGGCATTTTTATTGGTGATGAAATATAGTCCATATTAACACCATCTGGAGGGTTATGGTTATAGAAACAATATTATTTTCCAAGTCCTCTAACTTTTCAAAGATGACTGTTAATGGGAAACATTTTACAAGCACATAAATAAGATCTGATAATAATGCTGGTCAATGAATTTATAACAAATAAAATTTTAATCATGTATTAAGCTCCTGCCCATAACTGGACCTCTGTTTCATTATATTATAGAAGAACCAGGTTAAATTAATGATAAATTCCTTTATGAACTTCATACATTTTCTAAAGCATAAAATATCACATCTTCCTTTAGAAGAAACTAAAGAATTACTAAGGAGCTATGAAAAATAAAGGAGAAAATTATATAACTAATATAGAAGTTATAATTTGGTAAGTATAGACTATGAAAACAGAAATTGCTAATTTACCTCCAAAAGTCACACATATTAAAACACACAAATAAAACTAGAGTAAGCACACACCTAAAGAGAAATCAACTTAAAACTGACCTGTTCTATGGAACAATTCCCACAAAATAATCTTTAATTATTATTAATAAAATCCCTCTAATAAACTCATCTGGTTTAAACTCAATCTGCCAAGTAGATTCAGAAAAAGAAGCCTTTAAGACCAGGCAGTTTTGGAGGAGTTGGGTTCTTTCAGATATTTTCATACAACCAAAATTAAGGGGCAATATCCTTTGTGGGGGTGGGGGTACCAGGAGAGAGAAACCAAAGAACTTATATATGTATATGCACAGCCCATGGACACAGACAATAGGGTGATGGAAGAACTGGGGGTTGCGGGGGTGAGAAATAGGGACTGGGCAGATGGGGAGAGAAAAGGAGATAAAGTGGGAGACATCTGTAATACTATCAACAACAAAACATTAAGGGGGGGAGGGCAATGACCTCCACAATCTCAGAAATACCCAGGGATCATCTATCCAGATCACATTCTTGTACATCTTCCTAATCTAACAATAAAACTTCCTATCCATGACAAACAGAAAAAGTCCCCAAGTTTCTTTTTCCCTTTTCTATCATGTTCATTTATATTTTTGAGCAGGTGGAGCTTGAGGTAGGGGGAGGAGCAACAGACTTCACAGAGGATTGGAAAACTCTGACTAAACCTCAGACTTGGTTTTATCATTTTTCTCCCACGGAAAAGTTGGCCTGAAGATTCAGTGAATTAATATACATCAAGGTGCTGAGAAAACTGTGAACCATTATCAAGTGCAAGGTAATCCTGTTTCTTGAATTAGCAGGTAAAGCTGTGAAAATATACTATCATTAAACAGGTCTGGGCCAGAGCCTACTACCCCAGTGACAAGCAGCTCACAGCATGGCTGCCCCTACTGCAGCACAAGGGACAGGTGTGCACAAGATGCACCTCACCTAGGCAGGGCCTGCCAAGAGCCTCGGTGATTCCTGCGGCTAGTCTGGGTTTATCCAGGGACGGTATTCCTATGAATAAAACCTAGAGTTTGACTCAAACCAATTAAGTCCCTTCTTGAAGATGATTTAGAATCTGTTGAGTTCCTCAATAGTTTAGGTCCTCGATATGGTTTGAACCAGAAACATCCAATCATCTTCAGTATGGCCTAAAGTCTACTGAGGGACTGGAAAAAAAACCAATTTCTCAGGCCTGAAAGTGGGCGGGGTCTTCTGTGAGTCACAAGGGGACCTGTGTCTACAGCACGAAGTTCTTTGGAAAGAAATCAGAGTTGCGTTTTAACCCAAACCCACAACTTGTCTCACTGTACATTTAAAAATCTCCTCATTTTTGGGGAAATGAAATGCATAGTGATTTCACACAGACTCCTCCTTGGCAAAATATAAAATTAAAAAAGACAAAATTTTGCTGTCTGGTTCCAGTGTAGGCACTAGGTTTCAACTGCTGCAACGAAGTACTAATTCAACTGTTCTATAACACATTTTTCCAAACCTAAAGTACTTGTTTGACATTGGTAATGCTTTTAATCCATTAAAAATTTCTTAAAATTTAATTCACTGAATCATTATTACAGAATAAAAGGTGAACAAAATGATTGTGAGCTCTATTATAATAATACTAGAGGCTGGGTGCACGAAATCCGTGCAAAGGACTCAGCCCTCGCAGCCCTGGCTTCGTCTGGAAGTCGTTTGGACAGTCGTTCTGCTGCTCAGTCTAATTAGCATATTAGCTCTTTATTATATAGGATTAAATAATGCAAAGGGATTCTCAGTGGGGCAAATACGTAAGATGCCATAAAGATTTATATTAGAGCAATGAAATAAAATTATACATATATATCAGATAATCATTTCAGAATTTGATTAATAGAAACAATGTTTTTTCTCCTCTGAAAGAGTTTCACTAAGAATCCACAGTATCTACATACTTTATATGTTCAACATTGTCTGAACAACCTGGATAAGGGCTTGGTCTCAATCCTTCTTGAGAACAAATGCAGCTAAGGGTGGCTCAATCAGTTAATCCATAATTCAAGCCAAGTAAATTTTATTTCCTATCCCAACTTTTCAGCAGATACAGTCTTTAGACATATATATCAGAAAGCTACTGAAGAGTATCTTAATAGTATATGAAAAGAAATAACCCTTAACAATTAATGTAATTTTGCCTAAAGAAAAAAACTTGATGACTAAGGACAGCAGAATCCCATTTGAAAAACAGAAGCATTAAAATCCCAGAAATATTAAAAACAAAAGCTGTATTAAGAATCACTAAGTTAAATATTTGGATACATTTTTAAAGTTCATACTCGTCTCAAGTAAGTCATTCTTTTGTTGGTCTTGCAGATTCAGTGATAAGTAAGACAGCTCTCTGAGCAGGGGGCCTTTCTGTGATGATCACAGGAACCAAGTTAACTAATAACCAAGTGTGTATTAACTCTAAACACCACACACTAAGTATTAAACCGAGTCTAAGTATAGTATTTTTTGTGTAGTCACTCTTACAATAAAAGTTATGTATCTATATAAAGAGTTCCTCATTCTTTTTCTTAAGAAAAATCCAGAGGTATATCATTTCTTAAGAAATATTTTACAGAAGTCTTTACAGACCAAATTCAATAGCTATGTGTGTACGTATGCAGGTGAGCTCTATTATCCTTTCTATTCTGCTAGAGAAGCATGGCTTTCTTGTTCACAATGACAGTAATGACTCCCTTACAGTCTGCTCCTATAGACATCAAGACCTAATTAATTTTCATTAAATGAAGCAGAGAAAATGGACCTTTGTGACATTTCTAAAAAATAATCATTTCAAACATTACAACATACAGTTTAAGATCCTCAACAGGTGGCTAAATATAATAGCTATTCCCAATTTATGGAGTATCTGTAGCAGTTTCATATTTAGTGTTAAATGAGCTTTTTCTATAATTCCACACTTGGAAATGTATTATTATTTCTTACTATTAATGAAAAGAAATGACCATCAAGATATAATTTCATTATAACATGAGGTTACATAAATACTTTAAATTTCTACTCTATATTCAATTTTATCCAGTTTTATTGATCTTATTTTTAAGAATTGTACATGCTATAAATTATATGTGAAAGAAATATATTTGCTTGTGGATTATAAGTCTAATCCACTATTAAACTTGTATCTAATAGCTGGTATTGAAAATTAACTTGTATTCTAATAGTTATGAGGCTACCTTTTAAATTCGATTAAAAAACAAACGATGTAGATGCACATACACAAAGTTACCTGGAAGGTGACTTTGGTCTTTCCTAAAAAAGTGTAAAATTTTGGAAAACAGAAAATGTGCCCATTTCTGGGAATATGGATGGAATTCCTTATCAGTTCCACTTCAAGCTGCCTTCCAGGATTGTATTAAACTTAATTATGAAAGATTACAAGCGAGATGATGTGTAATTGGCACCAGCTGCAGTTCGTATTGGAAAAGCACAAATACAAACAGAATTATTTATTTATTTATATTTATTTACTATTCAAATGGCGGTTCTAAAACTTGCAGGGAATAAAACGGACTGTATTGCCCTCCACCCCCATTAAGTTTAAAATACTTCTTTACATAAGTCATAGAGATAAATATCCCATTTACAGACTACTTTTCATCCCCCAAAGAACCCCAAAGCAGCAGCAATGCAAAGCAAGTTTCTTTCCCCTAATTAGTAGCTTATTGTTTTTATACCATTATTAGTGCTTAGGGACAAAATTTCCCCCAAGCCACTCCATACGTGTGTGTGTGTGTGTGTGTGTTTAAATCTGTCCACCTATCTTTCTAATTCCTTGTTGAGATTCTTCATCAGGCATTTAAAAAGAAAAGCCAAAGGAAAAGGCTTAAGGAGAAAAGCTAGACTTCACCTGGGGAGGGCGGCTGGGTGGTGTGCTTATCAGGGGGGCAGGGCCCATGGCCGAGGCTGCATTCAAGCTCCTTTCCCTTTCATCCTGGTAAATTCGATCTCTTTCAGCTTCTGGTAACTGCAAGAAATTCTGCATAGCCCGAAGATTTACCAGCAAAGACTGGGATGCAGTCTTGGGGTCCTCTTCCTTTCGGAGAATTTCTGAAAGCAAGCCCTGCAGGGAATGAAAGGCACAGAGTGAGTGAGCCTGCTCCGGGCTCTGCCCAGCCAGTGGCGATCCTTCCCTTTTCTTTTCCACTCTGTTTAGAAAAGGAACAGTCAGAAGCATTAATTCTACGTAGGAATATATTAGTTACAACTGACGTGGTAGAGAAGAGAGCCTCAATTGTATTCTTAATTTTATTAAGCATCTGCTTTACATATACCATAAACCGAAACTGCCTAATTGGTCTCCTTCCTTTGAGTAGCTTAACTTGCCATGAAATCTTTCAGAGAGAGACGATCCAGGGAAGTTAAGAATAAATGAAATGCTCATAATACAACAGCACTGAACGGTAGAGTTCTCAAGCTGCCTAAACAAAGACGGTGGAATGCCAACAGCCTGATATGTAAAGATACAAAGCTATTTCAGGAGAAATAGGACTTTCATAGAAAATGAACTACAACTTACTAGAGAAAAGAATGTTATGGCCCAGCCACAGTGGCTCAATTGGTTGAGCATCATCAGGGCATGTACCTGGGTTGTGGGTTCAATCCCCAGTCCGGGCACCTTCAGAAGGCAAATGATCTATGTTTATCTATCACATCGATGTTTTTCTCTTTCTCTCTTTCCCTTCCTCTCTCTAAGCATGTCTTCTGGTGAGGATTAAATAATAATAAAAAAAGAATTTTACAAAAGCATTGTCTAAGATTAAGGCTATGTTTTCACAGACAATATTTTAAGTTAGTCCTTTATTTGAAAATTGTTAGAGTCAATGACAAATGATTCTTTGTATTTTATCATTTAAGGAAACTACATTTGACAGCCCCAATGACTCTAAATACTATCTTGCTATGTTGTATCTCTTGGGAACAGGTTGAAATTCTGAACTTCAGAAACCATAGATTAAATCTGAAATACATAAACCCCTCTCCACATTTCAAAAATCCATGATAGCATGCCACGGAAAAGAGTATTATCCAATTCCTCAATTTCTTGAGGAATAAAAATATGTCTTTCTAATAGAAGGAATTTACAAACCATTAGTGAAGTCCTTTAAAGTGTCTCTTTCCCCAAGTAATAGAAGCCCCCCCCCCCCATTTTATTAATTTTTGGAAGAATGCTTTCAAAAATGGGTGGTTTTCCCCAATTTTCTTTAAGGGATTATATGAAATTGAAGGATTAGAAAATGTTTCTGTCCATTTGATAGGGGCTGAGCAGCTCTTACCACTTCAGTCTTCTACATGAAATAATGCCTGGTTTCTACATTTAGCCAGAATATCAGTTTAACACAATATAGCTCAGAATAAAATGTCCAGATCTCGGTATAGTTTGCAAATTTCACTTTCCAACAACTCTGCGGAAAGGGTGAAAGGATACATTTGGGAAAGGGGAGATAAAGTGTCATGTCAAAATAATTAAACCCCAAGATTACAACATTTGCGTTTTTTCATGGTTTCCTAGAAGTGCAAACCCAGTTTTTGGTTCTTCGGGGATAATGCCCAAAATGCTCAAATAGATGCAGGCAGTATAAAAGCTCTGTCCACTATTAAAATGATGTATGGGCTGCTGTGAAAAAAGAACCTCCAATTGGCTCAGGGGGCTAAAGAGTAAATTTTAATCTCTCCCTTGGTCTTTGCAACGGAAGTCAAAAACCTGGACCCAAACTTTAAGTTGCACCATGAGACACGTAGAGGAAGAACGAAGGGAATGCGTCCTTTCATTGCTAATACTGACAAGTAATGCTGCAACCGAGTTTACACAAGAGTAAAACACCCAGTCAGTTTAACTAAAATTCAGTCCAACAGGCAGTCAATCATCCAGCTATTTAATTTGCACAAGGCCAACTAATTAGATTGACTGTGTTGATGTGTCACATTAAAACCGAAAAATACAGGCCTTAAGAACGTTTGAAAATAGGTGTAAAAAAATAATCCATGTTCTCCACGCTTCCCTACCAAATGTTATGTTTTACAAGATGTGCTTGGCAAAGTAATATACATCAACTATACAGAAACAGAAAGATAGAAAAATACAGCATAATAAATAAAATGTTGTAATTCCTTGAATATTCTAATATTCATTTTTGTTATCCCAGCACAATGCCTACTCTGTAAGTGTTTGATATATATTTACTAAGTGGATAAATTATGTGTATTCAGACCACAAAAGGAACAACATTGCAAATGGGTGACTGAAACTTAGAAACAAGATATGCTACCCAAGGGTAAATTCTAATGGTAATTATTAATTTACTCAAGGTGAGCCTTCAATGAGAAGTTTACTGTGGCGCTTTGTAAGATGTTTACCTACACTAAATGTTCAGTAATTTAAAAAAAAAAAAAGATTAGGTTAAAAGGGATCCTATAAATATTGAGAACTGGAAAATTTGAAATTAGACATTTATAAATCTCAAATAAAATAATATATCATCTCTATTAAAAAAAAATGTTTCCCCTGACAGCAGAGAACTATGGTGAGAAAAGCAAACACCTGAAAAAATACCTAATAATGCTCTCTACCAAGTCTTGCTAACATAACACCAAGGCATTCCTATATGGCTTACGTAGAAGGCAGCAGGTAACTTGGGAGAGGATTTAGACATTTCTCTACCCATATTTTGATGCTGGCATGACTTCCCATTTGAGCAAGTAAAGTATTTCAGGGGCAAAACATTTTATTTCCATTTAATTATTTGGCTAGAGCAAGTGTAGTTTTTCTGCTTGTAATATGTTGAAGGTCTAAAGCGATTATTTCAAACCCTGGAACATACAGAGCTCTAAAGCAGCCAGTGTAGACATCTCGGGTGTTTTAGAAACCTTTGGGGTTTTCTTTTTTTTTCCTTTTCTTTCTTTCTTTCTTTTTCTTTTTCTTTTCTTTTTTTTTTTTTTTTTTTTTTTTTTTGGCCCAAGCTTTCAATGAGGGGAGTGCCCCCTGGTGGAAATGCTTGAAAATATTGTTAGGAAATGTTTTGATTAGAATGTGTTAATTACCAAAAATAAATAAATAAATAATCATGCCACTTGAGAATAATTCTGGATGCAAAATGACTGCTATAAGAATCCGGATATGGGAATGAATGTTCGGTCCTGTTCAGGATGTTGTTACTTGAATAGTTAGTTGCATTTATGGATTCAAGATGTATGTGGCCTGTTTCCATTTGCCCATAGTCGAAAATACAGTGCAGACTTGCCAAGTTAGGTCAATGTCACTTGTGGTAATTCCTCATGGGGGACAGTAAGAGGGATCTCCTACCAAAAATTCTTCTTCATGCTAAAAAATAATGTCCTGTACCTTATTCGCTATCTCAGCGAATATGCTGAAACAGCAGGACGAAAATATCTCTTCAATACTGTGCACCATAGGTGCTCAATAAATTTGTTGAAGAAAACTAAACAAAATCATTAGCCATTCTTGTTTCTGAAAAGAACTTGAGAATTTGTATGTTATGCCGTAAGTTACCAGCACCTCATGAATATTAATTTTATTGGAAATGACAAGCTGCTTTTCATTAGGACTTCCACATCTTCAAATAACTCATATGTTCTCTATATATGAAAACATAAAATGGTTCTGTATTGTCTTTACATGGTGGTTAAACGAGAATTTTAATTTTTTTTTCAATTAAAGAGCAAACTTACTGATGAATTCCTAAGCCTTTTTTACATTCCAAAAAGAGTTTACAAGTTATTACAAGTAAAATTCATGAGTAATTGTAAAAGAAAGAAAAAACCTTCAATAAATATTATCAGTACTTCCAAATGCTAATTATGAATTCTTTAAAACAGCAGATAAGCGAAAGAGACTGCCAATCTGAACAAAAAGCCGGTCTGGCCTCCCGTTTGTCTCCTCTTTGAACATAATCACTGATTCAAATAGATTTTATCAGTTTCATGGAACTTCAAAGCCTCAGAAGGAAAATATGATTTGATAAAACCTCCTTACTAAAAAGAAAATATGTAGAATATTCTTCAAGGCTACCTGCCTCTGTGGTTTGGTGAATTTTTAAACACATGTCCAGGTGAAAGACCATTTTCAAACTCCACCCCCTACTCTGGACTTACGCCAAGTAAGTTATAAGCAGACACATTTATCTCTGTCATTTGGGGAGGCTACAGGAGAGCTGTCACGCTGGGGTAATAGCACCTTCTTACCTTTTATTCAATAGTGATATGGATAGTGGACTTTTCTTAAATTACACTGTGAAGAATTATAGAAACACAGCAGCAATCTCTCTTATACTTAAAAGCAGGCAAATTTCTCTCCACCACATAATTTACAGAACTCAAATTCAATAAAACATTACATGATGGTCCATTACTGTTATCAGTTTTGAATAATCCATCTTCATTCTTTATTTTACTGGAAAATAAAGTGTGCCAAAGATAAGAGGAGGGGGGAGAAAAAAGGAAAAAAAGCCACAGGGTGGGATCAGAGTTAAACTCTGGGTTTTATTTCTAAAAAGGCACTAAAGGATATATTTTCTTCTATCGCCACCTTTAAAGGGCAATAACACAGAGAAGTGAACTGGAAATTATAAATCTAGAAGCTCTGGCAATTATTTTTAGCCATAGGTTTCCATTAAAAAGACATCAAGTAGGAATAACTGAATGAATGACATATGCTAAAAGCTGGTGTCTTCCGTAGCAATTAAAGAACATATGCCCATTAATTCAAAAGGGGAAAAAGTACTTAAAACAAGTAATTATATAAATTCTCCATAAATTTTCAGAAAAGGTAGACTTAAAAAAAAATAGTCACGTGGGAAAGTCTTGAGAGAGAAAGGGGAATGATTTCATTTAGGAGACCCAATTAAGATGATGAGAAAATTCTCCAATTAAGAGCTAAAACATGAAATTCAGGATTTTAAAGTTATACAGAGCTGTCAATGACTAAAATTTTCTCGCGTCTTACCAGCATTATCTATTATTCTAATGTTTTAACACACTGTGTACAGGGCACCGATGTCTTTATCCGATCATGTCATGTAACTGCATTTGTACGTACAGATTTTACATTAATTTTTTAAACTTGGGGTTGGAATAAGTGCACACTGCAATAAGTGCACACAATGTGTGATGTGTGATTTAACTCTGCAGCGCTCCTCCGCCTATACATATGCATTAGCATGCGTATTTCCGTACTCCACACTCACACCATACACCCTCACTCTGCACCTGCTTTTACTGAAACGCATACACTTTGAAATAAACACACTACATGCATTCATATGAATGTATAATCATTAAAATAAATGCAGCTGTGCGTGTGCGTGGCATGCATGTGTGTGATGGTTTTTAAGTATGACACCAAAAATACATGCATGCTTGCTTGCTTGCGTGTTCAAAAGCTAGTTCCCAAAAAGTGAACACTTCACTGTACATAGAAAATTACTCTCAGTTACATCAGACAGCTTCAAATAGGGCCCAACATCCACTTTGACAGAGGAGTACCAATTACCGATGCAAAGGTATAAAACCAAACCTCTCTGCCAACCTGAGCTCCAAATAATATTTTGGTAATGACTTTTTCTAAATTGGCTATTATTAATAAAGAGACACTGGCTGTACCAGGTTTTCATTCTCTCACTCTCAGAAAAATAAAGTCACTGTTTATCTTTTCAAAGAGATTAATATGGCATAAAAAGAGAATTCTGCCTTCCTTACAGTAACGAATTCTACAGATATTTGTGGACATTGTCGATATTAGAACCAAAGGCAGAACAAATGTAGCAGGGGCATCATAATCCAAGAGAAGAAAAACTATACCAGTGGTTCTCAACCTTGGCTGCACATTAGAATCACCTGGGAATCTTTTAAAAACCCTGACTTCTGGGCTTCATCCTCCGGAAATTCTGTTTCTTTGTTATGGGGTGGGGTCACAACATTAGTAACAAAGAAACAGAATTGCCGGAGGATGAGGCCCAGAAATCAGGATTTTAAAAAGATTCCCAGGTGATTCTAATGTGCAGCCAAGGTTGAGAACCACTGAACTATACCAAGAGGTGGTGACTTCGCCCTCATCTCACTCAGCTGGACTCTCTTGTCATTCTTCCCCACGTAAAATGCTCTTTCCTCGGTGCTTTAAGAAATAACAATTTGCCCCATTTTTAAAATGCATATCTGTAAATCTGCATGTCATCTGTGTCTACATCAATGTTCTCTTTGTCTGTGGGCTTTTAATTCAATTCAACAACCCTATCTATTTTTTGCCCAGTACTGACAACTTCTAGCAGTCACTGCTATTTACAAAAACAAAACAAAACAAAAATGCTGCCAGAAGCAGGAGTATCTAGCTAGATGGCTGACTTCTGATTCATTCACTCATTCATTTCATTTTTTTTTAAATAATCACCCCCCAACTGAACATAGATGCCGTATTAAATTTACAAGCTAATGATAAACACGTTTCAAGTTGTGAAAATATCCAACTAGGCGAAACCATACAATTTTAAACTGAGACAAAACCTTCTGCAATCACCCTTTTAAAAACAGACAAATGATGTACAAAAAAAAACACAGATAAAGAAACCGAAAATAAACCAAGTTAAAGGCTTTCTCAGGCCTCCTAACTTAAGGCAAGCCAAAAATAAGCCACAGCTGGGATCCTCCTAGGTACAGACACTCTGCCAACAAGGAATTAATACTAGATTATTTTTGTACCAGAATTTTATTCTTATAATCATGTAATAAACAAAATAACTTATATATGAGAGGAAAGTATGAGTCAGGTCCCCAAAAAAGTTGACAAAAGAAAGAACAGTGGTAAAACAAGAACACTGAAAGGACATAATGTCCTCATTCTAATCAAAGTTACATGTTCTTTTGAGGGTGTGTGTGTGTGTGTCTGTGTGTGTTTGTGTGTGTGTGTGTGTGTGTGCACGGGGGCCAAAAATAAACACCATATATACTAGTTTCCAATAAAAGGAATTAAAAATACTCTCACAGTTTAGTAGAATCAATTTGTTTAGGATTTTTTTTATCTTAAGACTTCTTTCTCTTATATCACCCTTTCTCCCTGTCCTTCTGAAACTTCTTCCAGGATGATAACATCTTCAGAGGAATTTCCCAGGAGGACAAAGGTGTGGACATGAGGGGGACAGGCAGACTGAGGCCTGCAGCTCAAACCTACCCCAGAGGCCTCTTAGTGAACTTGGGAGGAACATTAACAATCATGTGAAGAGGGGAGAGAAATACCTTCTGCTAATAAATCATGTATTTTTTTCTAAATGGCTTCTTAGAATTAAAAGGCAAAAATTGTGATTGAGTCCCAAGATGTTTTTTGTGTTTTTTTTTAAAGTTGTAAAGGAATTTCAATAGAGCCCATTTATATACTCATGTCTGGTATGGGTGGTAATATACTAAAGACCCTAGGCTAGAAGCCTGGAGGCCTACCAGTGCCCTTAGCCAAGTCATGAAACTTTTCTCAACCTGCTACTGCTGTCTATAACTCCATTATCTAAGAGCGCAGGTAATCATATTTCATTTATTCTTTCAAGGCCCCTGAATCCGGATCATGCTGTGCATAGCTTCCTCTTGGCACAGGAGTTTCAAGAGAGGGAAAATAATGATTATATTTAGGCATCACCAGCAACAGACAATACGACTACATGAAGAGGATAAAATGTTAGTACAAAGTAAAAGAATAAACATTAGGTGTAGATGGGACTGAAGAGAGAGAGAAAAAGATACAAAAATCGTTAATAAATAAAACTGACCTGAGTTCTGTTAAAAGCCACACGTGCAAATACTGCCTGGGAGATTCCTGCTCGTTTCAGTTCATCGCGTACCCACTGGTAGATTTCGGAAGACACCTCTGTGTTGGTTGAAACCTGTTGCTCCAAAGGCTTATTCATAGATCTACTGACAGGGGGAGGGTGGTTCAAGTATTGTTGGTTTAAGGACTGCTGGGCTAAAAGTCTATTCACTGCATACTGCTGGTTCAGCAGCTGAGCCATCACCAGCTGCTGGTTGACCAACTGAGGACTGATGGGCGTTGACACAAGCCCAGGATGCAGATTCGGAAGAGGGGTCCGGACAGAAGGCTGGCCGCCGTGGGAGAGCTGCGCAGGGGATGGAGGCTGCTCGGCCGTGTTCCCTGGGACCGGCTGCTGGCCGAAGTTGACATGGTTGGCACCTTGCTGGGAGAGTTCAGAAAGACTATCCATTTCGACTGAAACAGATAAAAGGCAAAATCATGCTCAGTCAACAAGGATGGGCATTGGTAAGCATTTCCGATCACGTCCTAAATAGAGAGAGTAGGCACAGGGCACTTTAAAGATCCAATTAAAATAAGAGCATTTCAAGATAGAATTCAACCTGCTATGTTTTTACTTTCCTCCTCTGCACAATTTCACAAACTTTAAAAGTGGGACAATACTTCTGATCTATTTTATAATGTGGTTTAGACTTAAAGCATGAAATCAATTATTTTCATATTCTACATCACTAGTTTTGGGGTCAAACTGTTACTCATTCTCATTACCCCAAGAAGGCTGATAAGCATTGTTTACTTTAAGATTGTTTCTAGAAGAATGACATTTGCTTAATAGCATCTAGAAAGAATGTGTTGAGCTAAGAAAAAGACATCATAGGCAATAAACAAAAAAGAAATACACAAGTATTTTCTTATGGGATATATATATATATATATATATATATATATATATATATATATATAAATTGTTATTACTCTAGGCAAAAGGTCTGAAAGAAAAATAGATAACATAAATGTTGTCAACGTTCAATTCTTACCCAGACATGAATATAAAGAAGTAATCAATATAATAAATAATGAAAGCGGTCATCATGACAAGTAATAATAACTGAGTGCATATTGAACACGGGGCTGAGTATCATACACAGTTCGCTTTATTTAAGTCTAACCATCGTCTGCAACTATTTCTTGGAATGAGGCAAATGATTTATAGTATTACAAGCCAGTCTACCCAGTGTTGCGAAGACCCAAATGTGCCTTGAAGAAGCTATGGCTATCACCAGATGCTGAAGACAATCTTTCAAGGAAGGGGCGGGCAGTTGTTGTGGTGCAATGGTGATACTGTCATGATTTTGCAATTTATTGCCACCTACCCAAGATGGATGCTTCTCCCTTGACTGAGAGTGAGCTCAAAGTGCGTCAAATGCTTTGCTGCGAGGAGGAGGAGACTGGTGTGATGCTCCTGACTGAAAAAGCTGAGCATGATGCTGTATGGACACTGGTGAGACTTTCCAAATAGCACAACATCCTCCTTTCCACGTACAGACTCTGGTTGGACTTTAATCATCATTTCTCTCTTCATTAAATATTCAGGTTTTATATATTTAGAGGAATTTATCCTATTTCTATAATCACTAAATATATGCCGAATATAACTAAGAATTGGGGAAGAAACCTTCCATTTCTACCAGTGATATCAGCCCAAGTGGGCCATTCACAGGGAATAGTAATTCAAGCAATTATTCCAAAAATGATGCATTGTCTTCATTATAGCTCTAAGCTATAAAAGGCAAAGAATCTGTTTGGGTAGATGGATGGTTTTGCTTCAAATATTAAAAGCTAAAACATGCTCAAAATTCAGGTTCTCTTGTCTCTTAAAATCTTTAGGAAAAGTTACTGTTGTTGTCATCATAAAATAAATGTAATAGAAGTAAACAGAAATAGATCTAAAACAGGGCATAACGCCATGCACATGAAATATCCCATTCTTATATTATTTTAAGTATATTATTTGGAGGGTCCAAGTATATGAAAGAAAACATTAATAGAAATTAAAACATTAACCTCAATCACAGTGTTTGCCTTGGCAAATACTAACAAACTCAATAGGGAGAAAATGTCATAATCTAAATGCTTAGGTACAACACACAGCTTTTATCTGTCATTTTACACTGAAGATAATTTTAATGTATTTCCTTAGTAACAAATATTGACCTAAAGTTCTATGTTAATATAGGATGCTCTACTGGAATTAAAAGTTCAGGAATGATGCAATGATTTTTCTGGTGTGGACGGTAAAGCAGTACGTTCTACCTAAGCACCTAGAGGCAGGGTGGGGGATTAGAAATATAAAAATCACTTGATCTCAGTTGTGAAAACTAGAAATCCATTAATTTCCTTTAAAACTAGGTGGAAAAAAATAGGCTCTTTCTCTTGAACAAAAACAAAAAGCATAAAAGCATGTTTTATCTCTGAGAGAAATCACAGCTAATATTAGCTTTCAAGGTCTTCACTGAGATGTTAAAAAATGACAGCTCCCTCCTCACCCCTCGAGTTCCTGCATGTCTGACAACCAAGTCAGTTTGGCTGATTTAAACACAAACATTTATTGAATTTAATTATCTCATTATACTCATACCCACTCCCCACCCTCAAAGAAACATTCTAAATTGATCTCTAATTGGGCAATCAAAAGACCTGGCTTGAGATGTGACTTTGATAAACCCCCGAATGACACGTAATGGTATGTAGCCACCGAGGCGACGGTTTTTGCTTACCCATCATATCTTTTGTCTTCTTGAAATGTTTGTACCACCTTCCAAATTCTTGACATTTTGCTGCCGAGACATTTGCATAGTAAGTGCTGTTCACAATGGAAGAAATCATACTCTGCGTGAAGAGGGGGGAAACATTTGTAACACATAGTGGCACGAGATGGAACACAGAGACGTTTTCAATTGTGCAAACTGTATTTTTTTTTTTTAAATCAACTGAGTACCGATACATTTTTGTTCCACACTTCACCTAAAGCCTCAACTTCTTAAAATTCATGAAGGGGATCATCAAATGCTTATTTAAATAGAAAGCAACCGCCCACTGAGGCCAGTATAAAGCTTATCAAACCCACAGGCTTTGCTCTAGTATGTATGGAACTTCCATCAATGTCATCTGTTCTGGGTCGACAAACTTACCCTGATCCCAATAAATCCAATTCTGTGAAGATGACTTTATGACTGTTTGTAAATAAATGCTACTTCGAGTTTTTTAAAAAACATGTGTCTTTATTGTTGAAAGCATTATAGCTGTCCCCCTGTGTCTCCCTAATGACCCCCCCTTCATCCCGCTCCTACTCCCTCCCCAGGCCTTCCCTGTATCCATGGGTTTTGCATAGCTACTTTGAGTTTTAGTAACTCTACATCCTTGCTTCTCAAAGTATGCCCCAGGGATCAGCAATATCAGCATCACCTAGAAGCTTATTAAAAATGCATCATCTTCAGCCCCACCCCAGACCTAGTCAATGGGCAACTGCATATGACCAAGATCCCCAGGGTCTTTGGGTGTGCATTAAAGTTTGGGATACACAGCTTCGCTTTCCACTTCTATTATTTGGTTTCCCACTGGAGATGCATTAACTGCCTTAACACTGACCACATTTAAGGAGAAAATAAACTACTCAGAGATCCTCTATCAGAAGAAAAAAAAAAAAATTCTACAGTTGTATTGCTAGCTTCATCTACAGTAAAGCTTGAGTTCTGAATTTCAAACCAACCATGAAACACTTAAATATATACATTTCATGCTTACTAAATTTCTCAAAGATACCACAAAAAATAAAATGACCTATTCTGTCACTTGCCTTCATCCTGAAAACAGCCAACAGTGTTAACAGAAAAATGAAGATGAAAATCATGATTTTGATGTATTAGGAGTTTGGGGGGAGAGTTAAACTCATTTTTAACATAGAAAAGTGTTTTCTTCCCAGCAAATTTTAGTTACGGTAATTTCAGTGACTTAATCCATGTTATTTTTAACCATACCATCCTTATTCTCTAGTAGCAGCTAAATTAATTTCCAATTGCGTCTCAGGAATAATTAAGACTTTGCAGCACCAACCCACTCCCCACCCCCCTGCCCCCACTCCTCTGTGTAGAAACCTGAGAACTTCCACTTCAGACTTCAGTTGGTCTATGGTGACAGAGTTTACAGAGGGCAGCATTGTTTGGGAGCAGTGCACAACCAGAAAAGCCAGTTTGGGAACAAAAGTATTTTTATATAATTATCTCCTTTAAGCGACTTCTAATTTAAAGCTCTTTTGGTTATTATTGACTCTCCTAACATCCATTAGCAGTGGTAATTCTATAATAGGAACACATTCCAGTAATATGCAAATCTTGGGGATCTTTGAAGAACTTACAGTGAGGAGGACAAGCTAGAATTGCATTATTTATGTAAAGCATGGTGATCTTTCTTAAGAAGAATTGTGACATCTTTTTTTTTTTTTGACACTTTCTACTTTATAGTCCTTTCCTCATTTTATTTCTCTAAAAAGACATCCTTAATGGGCTCATGATGCCCTGCCATTAATCTAGTAGCTTGCAATCTTACTAAGAGCCTCCCTTAGTCCAGAGTACAAAAAGATACTTAGCAAGGGTGCCAGAACCAGAGCCAGATTACCTGATCCGGTTAACAATCCGTCAGCTTCAATCACCCTTACTCTATCGTAATAATGGATCAATAAAGTCAGACACTAATAAAACTATTGAGACTGCTGATGGATAACGGTGATTCTGAAAATGGATGGCAGTTGATGTTCTTCCACTTTGGTTCAATTTTTTAAAAATTATTACTCTTATACCTAGACATTCTGGCAGTTTCTTAAATGTTACTATAATAGCACATATAAATTTTAGATGTAGCTTTATGTCTTAATTTTCCGAAATATTTGGAATATCTAAGTTTTCTTAAGGTTTTTGACAGATATCCAATCTACTTTAATTTGCCAATAGTTCTATATGTGAAATTTGCTCTTTGCTGTACACCCACTATGTGCCTGGCCGGTACTCGGGCCGACAAGACAGAGCCTCTGCCTAAAGGAAGCTTGCAATCTATTAGGAAGACAGATAGGTAAACAGATCATTTCAATTTAATGTGTTCAGTATTATCAACAGTGAAATATATGTATATGGGAGAAAAAAAAGAAAGAAGATACATAGTGTGTGGGAAAAAAAGTCTGAAATATTTTTACACAACTAGAGCCCATATGTAATAGTGCTATGCAGTTCATTATTATCCATATGTGAAAAATAATATCCATATGCGCACGATCATCAACGCTTCCCCCTGCCCTTGTTTAACCCTACATTGGTAGCTTCTGTCCTTAAGTGACTTTCTAGGCACTGTTCTGCTCTGTGGAGTGGTGTGTGCTCAGGGAACTCTGATTAATGTAAATATTAGCCTAAGCAGGACATAATCAAAAGGCTAACCCACAAGTTATGACGTATGCCAAGACAACTTTTTAGATATCTCTATCTTTCTATGCTTTTGGGGGCTGGGAAATATTCCATAATTCAGGTAACTCAGGGTCACTTCACTTTTTATTGGAACAATATACAGTAAATTTTGCACGTAGCCACAGCAAGATGCTGTTTTTCTTCTAGTAAAATCCTTATTGAAATCTCGGGCATGGCATCTGACTACACTAGCGAGTTTCAAGGGCAGGGAAGAGAGAATTCAGGATCTTATGGGGCCCATGGCATTTGAAAGATCATATCCAGTATCATAATCTTCAATTTGGAAAGTCATAAAGAAACACCTACTGTTTTGAAAATACAAATGACAGAAAGTAAAGATTGACAATATTTTCATAGGTGGTACAAAGGGTACACCAAGAGCCATGATTTTCAGGAGAGGGGCTTGGGGTTCATGTCAACCAAAAGGAGACACCGGTTTAAAAATATTACACTAGGCTGTCAGTTCATGCAGATCTGGGTTCCATATTACTTTCTAGCCCAAATGCCTGGCACGTATTAAACACACACTAAATGTTCTTTGATGAAACAGAATCAGCTAAATCTGCATTCAAGTCCAAGATGTGCTGCACACTACTAGTGCGACCCCAGTCAAATTAAGTACTCTAAAACAATTCCCCATGCTAAATGGCAACGATAGTGGCACTCACCCCATGGGGTTGTTCTGAGACTCCATTCATTCCGGCATTTTTTTTTTCATTCATTCATTCACTATGTATTTACTGAACTCTATGATGTGCCAAGCACGGGGCAAGTGACTAGGAAGTACGGCTCTTCACGCCATTACTTATCTGCCCTTGGACAGACAATTTATAAAATAATGAATGTGATACAATTAGCACAGTGCCTGGAACATACCAAGTCTGGACCTAAGAGGTGTTAATGACTACGACAACCCTCTGCCACCACCTCCTCCTTGGGCTCTTATTATAGGCTCGCATTTCAGATCAGTCCAAAGACTACTCTGTGAATAACAAAGGCATCAGGTAAAATTGCAAATGATATATTTCAAGTCAAATACATTTTCTTATGAAGAATGTAGATTGTACTCATTAAATTGAGTTACAGGTAAAGTAAGAACAAGGGAAAACACCAAGGAAAACGGTGTTTCCATTTGTTGCGATATTCAAATTTGGTGGTAACTTCTAAAGTTGGCCTGCACCTGGTAGCTGACGTCAGGAAGACATGCACCGCTTCTCTGACTTGGATGATCGACCAGTGCCCTCTCCAATTTCTAGCTAACAGCTGTTCATCCCTGAGGATGTATTTCAGGTATCTCTGCTCTGCCTTTCCTGACTTCCCAAACATCCCACACATGGTACCACGACAGCACTTGTCATGCTGTGGATTTTCTACTAGAGCCTTGGTTCTCATCTCTAAATAGTGTGCACTCATCACATTCAGGGTTGGGAACATATTAGTTGATCAACAAAAGGACACTGAAATAAGCCATTACTGCAGACTACCAGAAAATCAATCAATCAATCTCTCTCTCTCTTGTCCTTAAAACTTAAAGGTAATGGCAGCTTAATTGTTAAATGAGACTCTTAAAATCATCACTTTTGGCAGTTACAATAAAACTCGTAGTTTAAAACATCTTTGTTCATTCGTTTGCAAGAGTTTTTCCTGCCCGAGTTTTTCCCAAATGCAACGGCACAGATGTCTCAGAAGTCACCGTGCTTGCTGGGTATGTCATTCCAGAACCAGTCCTCTCCCATGTCTATTTATACGAGCTCTCCAGAGCACTCAGAGAAAGACACACCAGGGCACTTGGAGAAAGACACAACTGTCATGGCAAGTTTTCCCACCCGGTGGCCAGTGTGTGTAAAAGATGAACGTTCAGGGAAGAAAGGACTCAGGCTGACAAAACTCAGTGGGTTTAGATCCCAAGTTCAAATGCTACACACAGCACCGACCAGGGAATCGGCCGCGGCTTTCCTAGGCTGGGAAACAGAATTTGAAAGTCAGCTGAAATTGGCCGTGGGTCTCACAACCTCAGTGTGACACGATACTCTCGTCCTGGGAGCCAAGTTGTAAGCTTTTCTAAGATCCATAAAGCACATGTCTACGCCCTAGGAGGGGCTTCGGTTCTTTCTGGGAGTCTGCTGAAGTTCCGATCTGAAAGAATGCCATCTTCGCTGAAACCCCGGCACTCTAGAATGATGCCATCTGCCACAGGCTGAGCTTCCTTCGCAGCCAAATACATTATTTATAACCTTTCTAATTGTGAAAAGGTAAGAGTGGAATTTTTCTAAAGCCTGACGTAGATAATAGTGAGAACCTTCTGGACCTTGGCTCAAAAAAATACTGCAGGTCTCTAAATTTGAAACACAAAAAAGCAAACAACAAACAGAACACCCA